CCTTCCCCTGGCGCTGCCGCCCCCTCCCCACCTTTTCCAGCCCTTCTGGGGGGGGTCGCTGTACAAGGGGGGGCTGTAGGGCGGGGCCGGCCCGGGGGTCCCGCCCTTCTCCGAGTACGCGACGGTGGCGGCCTCGTCCGGAACGCTCATCCCGCCCGACACGTTCTTCACCTGGAAAAAGGGATTTGGGATTTTGGGGGAGAACTCAGCTGGGATAAAGGAGAAGCCAGCGAGAAATGTCCCGAGAAATTTGCGTGGGAATTGGCCCGAAATTCCGCAGAAATCTCTAAAATTCACTGAGAAGCACCCGAAAATTCCCTGAACATTGTCTGAGAAATCCCTGAAAATTCACCAAGAAACCCCAGAAAATTTCTTGAAGATACGCCAAGAAATCCCTGATAATCCCACAAGAAATCCCCAAAAATTCCCTGAGAAATCCAGCATAAAGTCCACGGAAACCAGGGGCTGTTGTCCCACCTGGAGTGCCCCCAAATCCTCCAGGGACATCCCCAAAAAGCCCAAAACCCAGAAACGCCAAAACCGAAAAACTCCAAAACTCCAAAACCAAAAAAATCCAAAACCCCAAACCCAGAAACCCCTCAAAAACCCGAACCCCCTAAAAGTTAAAACATCAAAAAAACCCAAACACAGAAACCCCAAAACCCAAAAACCCCCAAACCTAAGAACCCCAAAAAAATCAAAACCCCCAAAACCCAACAACCCCAAAAACCTCAAAAACCCCAAAACCCCCAAAAAACCCCAAAACCCCAAATGCTCGTGGAGAGACAGCGACAAAGGGACAAAGGAACAGGGCTGGCGGTTGGTGCCACCCTCAGGGTGACGCCCCCAGAGGTTTGGAGTGGCCCCACAGGGGGATAAGGGACATCCGGCTGTCCCCTGTCCCCTTCCTTCCGGCCCTTTGTGGGTTGTTTGTGCCGGACGCCGGTCCCTGCTGCCTTGGTGGCCTTGGAGACATCCGGCCGGACACACCACTTCCGCCGCTGTCCCCTCCTGGGGGCCACCCGGTGTGTCCCCAAGCTGTGGTGGCATCTGGGGACAGAGATGTCCCCAAAGGGGGTGACATCCCCAAAGCAGGGGAGGTGGCACGATGGGGGGGAGGCACCTGGGGTGGCACCTGGGGTGTCACCATGTCCCCAGAGGGACAGGAAATGCTCGGCCAGGGAGGGGCTTTGAGCAAATAAAGGCGGGCAGGATCAAAAGAAATGAAAATAAATAAAATTAAATAAAATGAAAATAAATAAAAATCAATACAGAGAGCATGGCCCCACAGACACGGGACTGGGAGTGGTGGCTTGGGGACAGGGGAGAGGGATGGGGACACAGGGGACAGAGGACAGGGATGGGGAGAGGGACAGGGGATAAGGAAGGAGTTGGGGACAGGGGACAGAGATAGAGACAGGGGACAGGGACAGGAGTGTCCCCAAAGCCACTGTCCCAACCCTTCCCACGGGAACGCTATGACACTTTCACCCATCCCCCAGCAGATGACACATCCCGGGCCACGCTGGCTGGCCGCACTGGGATGTCCCCAAGGTCCCCATCCAATGCCACCACTCCGGGTTTTCCCAGGGCCACCTCCCGGTTAATCATTGGCCAGACCGAAACCGCGCCGCCGTGGCCCCGGTGTCACCTGGCAGTGTCACCTGCCAGTGTCCCCAAGCACTCTTGGGGTCCCTAAATCCCCTCCTGACGTCGCCACATGAAGTCCCCAAACCCCTCCTGGTGTCCCCACACACCCCTTCAAGTCCCCAAATTCCCCCGAAGTCCCCTCCTAGTGTCCCCAAACCCCTTCCCAGTGTCCCCAAATCCCCTAAATCCTCCAAATCCAACTCTTCCAACAATCCCAAACTGCCAAAACTCCCAAAATCCCAACATTCCCAACAATTCCAACAATCCCAACAATCCCCAAATGCCAACAATCCCAAACTCCCAGCATTTCCAACTATCTGAAAACCTCAAAATCCAACATTTCCAACAATCCCAAAGTCCCAAACAACCCCAAATCCCAAATCCTGAACTCGCAGCTCTCACCCACTCCTCGACGTCAGGTCCCTGGGGCTCGGCAGGGATTTTATCCCAGTAAATGTTGTGTTTTCCGTATTTCCAGATCTTGCTGCGCGTTTTGTGCGCCAGGACGCAGATGAGGCACAGCAGGAGCACAGTCAGGAACCCACAGGCGATGGCCACAGCCTGAGGGAGTGCAGGGGTTATTCGGGAATTATTCAGGAATTATTTGGGAATTTGGGGATTCCACGTTCAAGAATTCAGGATTTGGGAATTTGGGGATTCAGGGGTTTGGGAATTTGGGGTTTAGGGATTCCTGGCATCAGGACTCTCATCCCCAAAATCCTCGTGGTGTTGGGTGAGCCCAATCCCAAGGATTCTCTGTATGCTTCCCAAACCCCAAACCTTCCCGAATCCCAAACGCTAAACCTTCCTAGATCCCAAACATTTCCCTGTCCTTCCCAAATCCCAAACCCCAAACCTTTCCAAATCCCAAAGCTTTTCTGTCCTTCCCAAACCTTCCCAAACCCCACTCCTCTCAATCTTTTCTCTCCTTCCCAAACCTCAACTTTGGGATTTGGGAAGATTTGTGATTCTAAACCGACAGAAAAGTTTGGGGGTTTGAGAAGGTTCGGGGTTTGGGAAGGACGGGCAGGATCTGGGGGCTCCCGGTGCCAGCCGGGCACTGCCGGGCCCCCATCCCGTGCCAGTCCCGGGCGGCCCCGGGCGCTCCCGGTTCCGCCGGCCGGGCTGGAAGCGCCGCATTCCAATTCCAGCCCTGGCGGGGGGAGCGGCCCCGGCCTGGTCAGGCATGGGACCAGGAGCGGGACCTGGACCGGGATTGGGATCGGGATAGGGACCAGGATTGGGATCTGGGAATGATTTGAGACTGGCACCGGGGTCCGGTAATGCTTTGGGATCGCTGCTGTTTGGGGCTGGCTCGGGGAAGAGCAGGGGGGAGGCGAGCGAGGGGGCGGGGCTGATTCCTGAATCCCAAATTTTTCTCTGCCCTTCCCGAATCCCAAACCTTTCTGTGGGGATCCTTCCCTCACCCCCGGGGGGTTCCTCCCTCATTTTTTGGTCTCCCTCCCTCCCTCAGTCTCTCCCTCCCCTCCTGGAGGTCCCTCCCTCGGTTCATCCCTCATTTCCTGGTGGTCCTTCCCTCATCTTTTGGAGGTCTTTCCTTCCCTCCCGGTGGTCCCCATCTTCCCGGTGGTCCCTGTCCCCTGCCGGTAGTCCCTGTCCCCTGCCGGTGGTCCCTGTCTCCTGCTGGTCCTTCCTCCCCATTCTCTCCTGATAGCCTCATCCCCTCGTGGTAGTCCCTGTCCCCTCTTAGTGGTCCCCATTCCCTGGTAGCCCTTCCTCCCCTCCCAGTAGCCCCCATCCCCTCTTGGTAGTCTCTGTCCCCTCCTCGTAGTCCCATCACCTGGTAGTCCCCATCCCCTCCTAGTAGTCCCTGCCCCTCCTCGTGGTCCCTTTCCCCTCCTGGTAGTCCCCGTCCCCTGGTGGTCCCCATTCCCTCCCAGTAGCCCCCATCCCCCGGGGTGTCCCCGCTGACCTCCTGCGGGTCCACGGTGCAGTAGTGGTACAGGTACTGGTTGAGCACAGTGCCCCCGGCGTACACCTGGCTGCACATGGCCAGCAGCGGGCTGTAGTAGTACCCCCCGCCACTCATCTGTGCCTGCGGATTCACCCCCACCACATAGACGATGCTGGCCACCAGCATCACCAAGGCCAGCACGGCGCACACCACGATGACCACCAGGTAGAAACGGCGCGACCGCGAGCTGCTGGACTTGCTCAAGCTGGCCACCAACAGCCCCAGCTGGGCCAGGAAGCAGAGCACGGCCATGGCGATCATGAAGCCATTGGCCGCCCGCGGGTTGGTGACGCCTCCGTAGTATCCCCCATAGCCGTAGCCGTAGTTCATCCCGCTGCCGTAGTAACCGGAGCCGTAGAAACCGCCCAGGCCGGTGCCCAGCACGCCGCCGTAGCCGTAGCCGTAGTCCCAGGCCAGCGTGGAGGCCACGCAGGCGAACACGGCGATGCACAGCAGCATCACCGCGCCCTCCAGCAGCCGCACCAGCCCCGGCGGTGACGACCACTTGTAGAAATGCTGAGGGACGTCCTCAATGTAGTAGGAGCCCGGTGGCGGCGAGCGGGCGCCGAAATCGTAGCCATAGTCACCCGTGGGTGGCCCGTAGGAGGCGGGGGGTGGCCCGTAGGCGCTGTCGTAGGGTTTCTTGGTGAACATCCCTGCAGGGGACAGGGGACAGAATGCTCAAGGGAGGTTCTGTCGCCGGAGGAGGTGGTGGAGGAAGGACTTTGGTCCCTTTGTCATCGTCGCCACCCAGCTGGAGAGGGAGTGGGAGGCACGGCGGTTTGTGTGGGGAAACTGAGGCACAGGGTTGTCACACAGAGTTGGGGTGTCCAAAAAACTTTGGAGATCCCACCAAAGAAGCCTTGGAGACCCCACAAAAAATCTGGGAAACCTCCTCGAAAATAACCTGGAGAGACCCCCACAAAAACCTTGGAGACCCCACCAAAAAAACCTTGGAGACCCCCACAAAAACCTTGGAGGTCCCACAAACAAATTCAGAGACCCTCCTCCAAAAAATACCGGGGATTCCCCCCCAAAAAACCTTGGAGACCCCACCAAAAAAAAAACTTGGAGACCCCACCAAAAAAACTTTGGAGACCTCACAAGAACCTTGGAGACTCCATAAAAAAGACGCCACAAAAGTTTCATGGAGAAACTGAGGCACAGCGTCACCGTGGGTTGACGTGGGGAAACTGAGGCACGGTGAGTCACCAGCCGGTGCCACCCCAGGCTCCCGGTGTCACCTCCCTGTCCCCAACAGCCCGAAGCCGGCAGGGAATTAATTGGGATTGTTGGAATTCCCCGATGGGAAGCAGGGGGCCTAAGCTGATCCGGACGGATTAAAAATCAAAATAATCACAATCAAAATCAAAATAATTAAAAATAATTAAAATCACCAAGTCCGCGTGAGGCAGAGCCACGAGGAGAGCGGCTGGAAAATTTGGGGTGGGGGGTTAAAATCAGCAAAATTAATGTGGGGACCCCCTCGTGCCATGCAGAGACTCCAGAAAAAAAACAACAAAAACAACCCAAATCGCTGGGGGAAAGGCGAGTTCCTGTGGGAAACTCAAAGTGGGCGCCCGTTCCGGCGGTACTGGGGCTCGGCGGGACCCTCGGGAGGGGCAGGGAGGAGTTTTGGGGGTGCCCAAAGGTCCCGGTTCCCAATCCCACGGATTCCAAATGCCCCGGTCCCACCGATCCCAAATCTCCTGGTCCCGGGCGGATCCCCCCATTTGACTCCACTTGGGACGCCCGGGAGG